TGCAGTGCAATAATGAAAGGGCGTCGGTCTGCCAGGTACCAGCCTTCTTCCAGTGACAGCCTGCAGGAATGGGTGCAGGCTAGGTCGACAAGCCTGAAGTCCCTTTGCTAAGAATTAGGTTGCTCTCATCTCCTCCACAACCTTAAAAAGGAAGCATTTCATTGTGTAACTTTGTTTTCAGTCATAAAGCAATTGAGATTTGGGATCATGAATCAGTTTCTGCTCATTCGCTCTGGCGGGGAAAGTGAGCTGCTCAGAACCACTCAGGCACTGAAATTGGACCTACCTGGAGAGTTCACAGAACAGAAGACACCTCAGCACAGTTGGCATCAATGTGAGAGGAAGTACAGGTTTTTGAGAGAAATCCAGAATCCTAAATGTCTCTCTTTACCCAGTCAGAACAGAGAGAGATTAATGTACTGGTCCAAAAATAAAGTAATGTCACTCATTTATTTTTCTGCCTTTTATGACTGATTGATTGGTTTTATTTCAGGTTTCCAGACACTTACCAATATTCAGCAGCACAAAGTAGATTAAAAAATAATAATAAAAGTAAAGGCTCCTGGTTGTTGTGGTTCAAATTGTCATTGGGCATGGGACTGTGGCAGGCAGAGGTAGTGAAGAGTGTGGGCAGGGGAAGAGGTATGAAGTGGAGTTCAGACTTTGTGGAGTGTTTATGGGTAGGGGAGAGCTGGGGGGCTGGGCTGGACAGTCCAAGAAATAGCCCTTTGATTATTGGTGGCTGGGTTGGGGGATGTGGGGGGGGGGGATGAAGGAGGAAGGAATTTAAAAGGGTATTTCCTTTAGTAAAGGACATTTCCATGTGGGCTATTAAACCTGCACTTCTTGCTGACACGATTTCTGCTTCATCGTGACTTTTTGCAGGGGAAGATTAGCACAGAATGCAGGCTAGCTATGCAGGAGGGATGCAATCTAATCCTAATGAAAAGGCTTTTATAGTCCATGCTTCATTTCCTATTTCTTTGGGATACTCTCTTCCTCTTTCTCACCCAGGCAGATATAAAAGATGGAGCCTTCTCTGCAGTCTGTCTCCCAGGGGGAAGTCTGCTCCCTCCCTAGTTTTACCTTCAGACTTTGCACACACACAAAATGGCTGCAGCAGCATGTGGGTGGGCATGGATAGAGCAGGAAGCTGCTTTTCTATTTCCCACCCCATGTGGGTGGGCATGGATAGCGCAGGAAGCTGCTTTTCTATTTCCCACCCAGCCTGCCCTGGAAGCTCCTTGTGCTTTTATTTGCTGGGGCATTTTGCTCTGCATAGCTGAGCGAAATCTATGGGTTTCCCAAGTGTCAGCTATGCACGGAATGGGGGCTGGGGAGGGGACTGGCCAGTTTGCATGAGAAGTGGACCTGCTGGGCCCCAGTGTTTATTTTTTTGCTGACCTTTTGGGGATATGGTCAGTGAGAGCTGTGACAGCTGCTGGAAGCGGTAGGGGCTTTGAAGATTGCAGAGGTTGTGACCTGGAGGCCCCTTTCCTCTCGCAGTCCCAGGAGCTGCTGAGTCAATCAGGGAGAAGGGGAGGTGAAGCAGGGGCTGCTCTTTGGCCATTTTTCAGTCGGTGAATGAAACAGGAAAGGACAAATGCAAGAAGAAAGAGGAGCGATTACTTCCACTGGGGTGAGTTGCTGAGAAGGGGAATCTCTCTGGTCAAGGTTTAAAAAGCAGTAATGAAATAAAAACATGCGCCTAGCCCCAAGCACCTCGGTCCTTTCCAAATTAAGGGTTATTGCAAATCAATATTGGTAAATAAGTCAAGTCAGCTCCTGCAAACTGTTCTGGATCACTGCAGTATAACTGCCTGCCATTTCCACCCTGATCCTGAGCTCTGTAGGGGAACGCCCACTCCTACCCTTGCCCCTTCCACTCCAGCTTCACTGCTCTTGTTGCCCAGGGTCTCAGACGGAAACTTCCTCCCCTTTGTAAAATGCTGTACAGCATTGGTGGTTCACAGCAAAGTGTCATAAATAATAACAACAGTGTTGCCTTTGCCAAAATTAATGAATAAAGTACATTTTATGATGCTGGATCCTTTTAATGCTGTTTGTTCACTGAGGAATTTGCACTATTTGGCATTCAGTCATGGGGCTCCCCTGCCTTACCATCAGTTGGGGGAGATTCCTCTCGACGTGGTGAGCCATATTTAATTCTTGCTTTTAGTTATGAGATGACATAGGCCTATGTATCTTCCCTTTTAGACTAGTAATTAGAACAACAAACAGGGCGACTGACTTCAGCTGACCACACCACAACAGAGGCAAGGAAAGCAAACAGGCTTTTCAGTGAAGTGACCTCTGAAGTGTTACAGTGAAGTGTAAATGAAGTCCTGTGTGTTGGCTAAATAATATTGTTTGGGGTTTGGGTTTTATGCATTTTTAAGATTTGTTTTAAAATGACCAATGTAAATCCAGCGCCAGCTTAAAAGAAAAACTTACGATTAGGTCTAATGCCGCTAGTAGCTGTTAGGCCATTTGCTATAAGCCATGCACAATAAGAATGTCCTTCTAGGAATATCTGTCACTGTTGTCAACCATCCCTTACTGAGAATGGTGTTGGTGGATCTCAATGAAGCTTGCCATTTTTACTGTTACTTCCCAGCAGGAAGATTAGTCTGCTGCCTTTTAGGGCCATCTCCTGCCATTGAGCCACATGCAGAACTCCCATGGATTTAACTCAGTGTGGAACCAAGGCAGGATATGGGCTGGCAATTTGTGACAAAAGAAGTGCTAATGAAGCAGATGACAAGGACTGGAGCCCATCCCACTGCATGTTACGTTTATTTACTAGAAAACAAGACGAAGGAAATCTATAAGCATTGTTTATATTAACAAAACCACCTTCCCTTTACATCCCCCACTTCATGCCCCTTTTACTTGGAAACTTGACCCTCAGCTCCTCCATTCTGTCTTCAGTCACATGCTCCCTTAAAACACCACATTTCCCTTCCACTAATCCTTCCAGCCAGAGTCCCCCAGAGCATGTGTTAGCAAAACTGCACTGTTGAGATTTGAGCCTCTCCCCCCCCCCAACCCACTCACCCCATGTCATCAGGAACCTAATTCAGAAAGTGTGCTGATTGCCCAGCTCCTAACTATTTCAATAGAGTCCTCCCTTGTGTGAAAACCTTCCATAGACAGGGCCTCTCTTTAGTGGCTGTAGAATCTGCCTGGGTGACCAGCTGGAGGTAAAATCTCAAAGCAGCACACTTTTAAAGAGAGCCTCCTTTCTATGACGGGCTGCCAGGGAAGGCAGTAACAGCATAAGGACCTGCCCTTTGGAATTCAGGAAAAACTGGGGCTGGGTACTTGTGTCAACAGATTTGTCCAATTCTAATTGTAGTTCCTTAGGACATAATTTTCATCCATGTTCTGCAAAATGTCAACGGCCCTCAAAGCATATAAATCATAAACCAGACTAATAAAATCCTACTTGCCCGCTTACCTTGGGGTAAGGGATGGGTATTTTTAAGTAGATTACTAAAGTAGCAAATCTTTTTCTTTAGAATCAGTTGACCTAACTAGATCAGTAGGGTGTAAATTAGCCTACACCACAGCAAGCGACTGTTCTCATGCCCAATTTGCAATAAATCACTATTTAATTAAAAACTATCAAATCATAGAATTTATTTTGAAACAAAAGACAATCTTCAGCCTCTCCTATGTTCATAAACTGATACGTTTGCTAACAGTGGGTATGCAGAGCTCGCAGCTAAAAGCAATGGGGAATTCTGCTTCATAAGATAAGCCCTCGTCACAGGCCATAGTACAATACAGACAAGCTGGCAATTTCTTGTTCCTTTAATACGTAGTTCATTAAGAACAACCTAAAATTACTGGTGACCAGTTCCTCTTTCCTACACAAGTGATAGGAATAAAATTCAGAGGGATTTTTTAAATTTGGGTTTTTCTTTGTTACCCAAACCTTTCAGAAAAAAAGTCTAACAAAAGAGTTTGTTTTTAGGAGCTTTTATTGCTAGAAAAGGCTAAGGTGGTAGAAAAATAAAAGATATTTTTAGATTCAAAAGAAATGGATCAGTTAAAAGCTGGATATAGAAGTAAATTGGAGGTCACCCGTATGTGCAACAAGTGTTGGAAGTTATAGGTAAGAGTATAACTAGACAAAAGTGTGAACTCTGTTAAAGAGGGATTTTCACCTTCAATGCTCCAAATATACTTTATGTGGGTAGTTTGTAAGTAGAGTTTGAGAAAGAAGCACATATTGGGCTAAAGGGGGCTAAACAATTTCTAACTCATGGCTAGAATAAGTTATGGAGCCGTTTTTAAAGTCACAACCAGCTGAGCAACTAATCCATCAAGGTAGGTAGGTGATTTGCACGTGGTAAAAGCACATCTCCTTATAGATGGCTAGGCATGCCATGATGAGACCCTGCCATGCAGCAGTAGGGTTATTGAAGACAGGAATAGCTGGGCAATGGAAATGACTGGAAATGGATGTTTACGATAGGTCTCAAGCTAGGCAATGGAAATCACTTCCTGGCTTGCTTGGCAGGAAGATGGTGCTTTCTTGGGGGAAGCTTGAATGAACAGATGCATTTTCCTGAAAAATGGCAAAAGTGCTGTGAGGTCTGGGCAATGATATTTATACTAAAACATGGATGTGAGAGGAAGTTTCTTTCACTCTCTCCCTAACATCATCTTGTAGCTTGGTGAAACAAAAACTCAAGTTCACCTGGCCTGACTGTGAACAGAACATGACCCAGAAGTCATGAAACTGCATGGGATCATTTGCCAGGAAGTAGCTTTGAGCTGAAGGGATCCTTTTGAAGTATAAGTCTTATCCTTACATATATGCAAGGGATGAGAAATCATAGTATCTACTGACCCAGATGATTGTTGGTAAAGCTTGATGCTGATTCCCGTGAGTCTTCAGGCTACTGGCCTTTGTTTGAAGAGACATTGCTCTTAATGACTACTCTGTCAGTATTTCTGTGTCTGT